GTATCATAGCGCACAGCTCTCAGGATCACGCTGTTTCCTGGCACGGCCGCTCCAGACCCGTGGCCATCTTGGAAGCCATACTTTAGTATTTCTTACTCTTTGTAATGTCACAATGTTATTTTTCTGCCATAAAGTTTGTCTGTATTCAAATTGTCATGAGAGTGTAATGGGAAAGGCCATAGGGAAAGGGAGATTGGGTATACTACACTTCCGTTTAGCTGGTCAGCTAGTAGTTTCTGTTTTGACAAGGATGTCTATGTTTGTGTGTCATTGATGTCTCTCTGGGAAGAGTAAAAATGAAAACATTGATCAAAATAGTAGAATTGTTATATTTCAGAATGCAGGAATTTACATATTTTTATTTTATTGCAGGTATTTCTTGGTGGATTTTTATGCACCAACAGCAACTGTTGAAAGCATGATGGAACACTTGTCTCGAGACATTGATGTGATTAGACCAAATATTGTAAAACACCCTCTGGCCCAGGAAGTGAAAGATTGTAAAGGGATTGTCCCCATCCCACTTGAAGAAAAATTATATTCCACGAAGAGGAAGAAGAAGTGAGAAGATTGACGAGATTTTAGCCATGTACTTAATTCTGTAACATTGAATTATGTTGAGTGAAATAAGCCAGTCACAGAAGGAGAAATACTGAATGTTCTCACTTACGTGGGAGCTCTGTGCCAGACTCTGGGAAGAGGGTGCTGGAGACACCTGGTTCTTGCCCTCAAGGAGTCAGCAGTCAGGTCTATCACTTCTCCTTTTATTTCTTTATTGTGAACTTTTCCGATTATTAATGTCAGATTTCCATTTTTGAAATATCTTTTAGTTTCTCAGGTCATGGGATGGCTACCACCTTTCCTCTGAAGTCTGCTTTCTAAATTCATGTCTAACATTCAGGGAACCACAATTTCCTTGCAGGCCAAGCCTTCCTCATCTATTCATTCATCTCTGTATCTCTAGCACCCAGATTGGCATTTCTCTACCCTGGTTGTGCACCGGGACAAACAGTGGTGCTTTTACGAAGCAGATTATTGGACTCCACTCCTGGCCTCTTAAGTCAGAATCTCTTAGAGAGGACTTGATAGCCAATGAAGCATACTGACTTTTTCTGAATGAATGAATGAAAAATCAGTTGCCCCCAAATTCCTATCATTTTGTACCATGTCGGTAAGAATATTATGAAGAGTGTTTGTTCACTAGCTCATCCTCCTCCTGTGAGATTAAATTACCAATAAGGCAACTTACAAATTTATAGGACTGTTTTTAGCCAAATAAGATTTCTAAGGATTCTTGGATGATTGTCACTACTCACTATGACTATATTGTGTCACTAGTTCTCAAAAAACCACATTTATTGTTTAAATCTCTTGGCCATGCTAACATTGTAGTCCGTTTCTTTCCAATGCCTCCACAGCTTCGCTGTGCTCAGACAGCCTGCTGGTGCTTCCTTCTCCCATCTGTCCTTCACATGGTCCCCACGATGTTAATGCACTCATTTAATAAGTTGCTCGTGTGCATGTACCTGTGTGGACAAGTGTGTGTGTGAAATGCCTTTTTATATGTGGGCCTTGGGTATGATTTTCTGAAATTCCAAATCCTTTGAAAACAACTGTATTTCCCAAGAACTACATCCAAAAGCAGACACCTAGTCCAGGCTGGGCAGATGGGTAGGAGGCCCATCTGTCAGCAGCCCTAAAATGTCAATGGGATTAATTGGAACCTGTTGCCATTTAACCCAACTTTGGACCTAGGAATCTTTACACAACTGATGAAATACTTCCTGTTCCTGCCAAAGTGCACAGAGCCCTGGAGAAGACACCACCTATCTCTTTTGTGTATGGATTCTCCTCTGCTAAATAAATACTGAATGTTGTGTCCAGAGGTCCCCCTTTGGCTTGCTCTGGCCTTGCCTGGTAGAATTTCAGGTGCCTAGGACCGCTAACACTGGGGTTGAAATCGAGGCAAAGTACAGTTAGGGAGAACTTCGTGGATTGCTTATGTTTGCAACTTAATTATAATTTCTGAATAGTTTTATGTGTGTTTTATTCCTTTCTCTCCCACAGAACACGATTTAATGCTTTCCGAGAAGTAAAACCAGTGGAACTTCCTAACTGTAATTTAGTTAAAGGAATAGGTATGTATGTGAGAGGAGGCAGTGTCTCATTTAAACTTCCAGTATTATCTTGCTATTTATTTGATTAATTATATGCTTGTTTAGTTTTGTTCAGAAATAAAACTTGGAACCAGGAGAGTATTCTTAAGTCAGTAATTTTAAATACCACATTGTTTGACTTTTGACTTCACCAATGTACTGCCAGGGTGTTGGCAGTTTTGACTATTTTTGTTTGGTCAATAGAGAAAAAATAATAGTCAAAACAATATTTGACTTTTATGGTAATATAACCTGCAGAGGTGGCAGGAGAGGGAAGGAACAGGGAGATAAAGCAATGAATGTAGGATAAAGTTTTTTTTAAAAAAAATCTGTCACAGGACTTTGCAATTACCACAAGGTTTCTCCTCATGCATCTCTCTTTGTATAGCAGAGAGGAAAGTTTTCCCCAGAAGCTCTCAGCAGATTTCCCCTTAGATCTCATTAGTCAGAGCTGGAGTAGAGGCTGGCGCCCTAGCTGCAAAGGAAGCTAGGAAATAATTATCGGGCCTCCATTGTGGGAGGCAGGCCCTGTCAGCAAAGATCAGAGGCAGGGAACAGCAGCTGGCAGGTCACCAACAGGGAATGGCCCAGGGCTCAAATCCCAGTCTGGTTTCAACCAACCAGCTTTGTTATTTGAGGACAACTTGTTTGAGATTCATTCTTTTGTTATGATTTGGGGTTTTTTGGTTTGTTTTTGAGAATTATTTATCTCAGTTGACTAAGGTTCAGAAGGCTAGACCAAAAGACTTATTCAGTTAGTATCATTAAACGTGGCCAAATATCTTATGACACGTTTTTTTTTTTTCTTTCTGGAAAAATGTGATATTAATATCAAATATTACTGGATATTTGAAAAACAAGCATCTTTACTAAGAGTATACATACAAAATCTAAAACTCATTTGTCTCTAGATGAATTGAAGTTTTAAAAATTTTCATGTACTTAAAGTATATTTATAATTATAGTAAATTCATATCCTTGATCATCTGAAATTTATCCCCATTTTAACTCAAGTATTTGAAATTTGCTTGTATTTCTCATATGGTTTTCAAAGGGTTTGATTTGGAACTATCAATATATACTTGTAGTTTACTCTGTATCTTTAGAAAAACAACAAGCTCTTTTCAAATTTTCATACGTATTGTACATTTTGTGAATTTTCATAAACTTTGTGTAAGAGGTTTCAGATTCTGAGGAAAAAGTTCTAGTCCATCAATTTAAAACAAATATATCAAGTGTAAATTTTAAGTGCACTTTAATGATATGAATGTCTTTTTAATTTCCATATAATCACATTCATCAATTTGAATAAATAAATGAGAGAATGGATTATTCTGAACCTATCAAAGAAGAGCTAATATGAGCTTCACTTTCAAGTTAGGAGTGTTGAAGAAGTGGGTAATCAATGATATGAAACAATCTGTACTGTCTGTTCTCTTTTCTGGCAGAAAATGGCTCTGAAGACTTAGAGATACTGCCTAATGGACTGGCTTTCATTAGCTCTGTGAGTGTTTACTTTCATTTACTGTCCTCTAGAACATTCCCTAGGACTGGCAGCTTAAGTCTTTTGCTTAGGCCTTCTGTATACCAATGCCTGCCTTCAAATAAAACGAGCAGCATTCAGGTGGTTCAGAAAACAAACTGTACATGTGTTTATACTGGCTTTATAGTTATGATCAGATGTGTCCTATGCATGTTTGTGTTCTTGTGTGTACACTGAACTCTTATATTACCTTAGCTTCTGATGAAGCATTTTGTTTGCAAGCTCAATGTATTCAAGAATGGCTTCCCATTCAACTGTCTATCACTTGAAGCATTTAACTGGTGAGGTCAAATATTTGCTGAATTAAATGTATGTTTATATATACTCCCTCATACATCATTTTGCTTTTTACCTTTTCTTACACTTTTTAGAAAAAGCCCTTTAAAGTTGTTGATATCATTCCAAAAGTCCCAAGCCTTGAAGAGAGAACCCACCATGTTTGTTGAAACTCTCCTCCATACAGAACACTATGGCAGGTGGTATAACTCAAAATATATGCATATTTCAAGAAAAATCTTATATGGGCTCCCAATATATAAAACAACAGCTTTGTTGTTCTGATTGAAGGCTAAGACAGGAGGAGCTCCCCATCCCTAAACCTTTAGACTTTTCCTAAACCTCCATCCCTGAGATGCTTCTAAGAACCTGCCAGGGGAAAGTCTAAAAACCATAACCAATGTTCTTTCTGTATTCCTTGCTAATATTATTATTGAAGACTATTAGTAATTGTCCCTTTGGTCTACTCTCCCATTTTTTAATCTTTCTCATGGGCTGGAAGCTGTGGCATGATAAGCACATGACTTTGCTGCGAGGGATGGAAGGGTTTGTGTAAAGAGGCCTGGTAGAGCATGTGGCTTCCAGAGTCCTCTGGGGGCCTTTTGCGCAAGCCAGCTACGAGGCTTCCCATGTGGGCCTGTGGCCAGCAGCCCTGTGTCCTGGAGCGGACAGTGAATGTGCCATCCACCACCTTTGAAATTCTTGTAATGTGTCTCCTTATTCCCTCTCCCCCATGTTTTATAAGGGATTAAAATATCCTGGAATAAAGAGCTTTGCACCTGATAAGCCTGGAAAAATATTTCTGATGGATCTGAACGAAGAAGATCCAACAGTGTTGGAATTGGGGATCACTGGAAGTGAATTTGATTTATCTTCATTTAACCCTCATGGGATTAGCACATTCATAGATGAAGGTAACGATATTTACTGTTTATTAAAAACAAAACCAATCTTTTTTAAAAAACAAGAAATACATGCTAATGAATGAATGTTTCTTCACATCCAACCAAAGCATAATCATGAACAATGTTCTTATTCTGGGTCTTAAACTTACCCTTTGTATTAATTAAATAAAATATTAAAACAACTTAAATGCTTGAGAATGCTAAATATTTAGAATTTGTAGAGTATGTAACTTTTTAAAATACCAACATTCGCAACATCACTATAACTACTATAATAACAATATTCAACTCTAATCATTATGGGTTTTCCATTTTAAACGATCTTCAAGACCTGGGCATTTACAGGGATATATTTTTCTAACAAGTCACCTGCTACTTATGGATCCAGTGACAGAAAGTCACCCTGTTCAGCTTTCTCTCAACCTTGTCACCTTCACAGCCTCCCTGTCCACTGGTTCCTCTGCTCTGTGTCAAACTTGTCCTCTGCATTTTGATACAGCTCAACATAACTTGTTGCCCCATCTTTGAAGCCTTCATCCCACTTATTCCCTTCTATTTGCTTTTATTTCCTTGTTGTCTATATTAATTCTCAACCTTAGTTGCATACAGAAGCACCTGGGAGCTTCTGAAAGCCTCATGCCCTGGCCCCGGCCCCAAAGATTCTGATTCAGTTGGTCTTTGCGAGGTGTGGGCAGCAGTACTTGTTAAAAGTTGTCCAGGTGATAAAAATGTAGAGCTGGGCTGAGAAGCACTCCCACCCCGGTGCCCCCGGTGCTCAGCAGGCGAGCCCTCGTTCAGTCCTTTCTCCCGACTTTCCCCAGGGTGGGTGTCTCAAATCACTGCTTCAGAGGTCATCAGTAAAGTCCCTGTGGACAAATCTCTCTTCCCTTCCTCCACCTCCGTCCTTCCGTCCTTCGTTCCTTCCTTTCTTTTTTCCTTCCTTCCCTTCTCCACCTCATTTTACATTGTTGTCCACTTTTTCCATTAAAAACATGGCTCCTCTCTGACATTCCAACACACTTCCCTGTCCTGGCTCCGGTCCTACTGAGACTTTCCTCCCCAGTCCTCGCTCTGTCACTCATTGCCCCTCTCGGAGCATTCCCCCAGAGGTTTGATCTTTTGCCTCCTCTTTATCTTCTTTATTTCAGAAATTTAAAACCAGTGTCACTATGCCAGTGTTCTAGGAGAACATTACCCAATATGGGGTATTACCATTTTGTTATTTTCATCAGTTTTTAGTTCTGTTATAGCAGGTGCTTACCCAGATACATCTCTTCAGTTTCCTCTCCTATGGCCACTTTAAACTCAAAATGTCAAAAAATAATTTTCCATTCTTTTTCCCCTCTTTACTCTTTCTTCATATGATTCTCCTTTATTCATATATATATATATATATATATATATATATATATATATATATATATATATATATATATATATATATATATATATATATCTTTCAACAGTCTCTCCACCCATACAACCATTCATCACCATTCTATTTTATTTTTAAAATATTTTTAAGTGCAGAGGAATTAGTGTTTGGCGTGTATACTTTTCTAAATGACAATGGGGTGATATTACACCAACCCTTTTATAAATTGCTTTTGCATTAAACGCTACTTCATGGACTCCTCTTTATGGGAGTGTGTTTAGAGCTGCTTCGCAATGGCTGTTTGTGACTCGTGTAGGAGTACTATAATGCAGTTCATCTGCTGGGGGATATTTAGGTTGTTTCCATCTTTATGCTCATTGCAAACAATACCAAAATAAGCAGTCTTGTACATGTATCTTCTGTGAATGTTTGTTTCCTTAGGATAAATTTCTAGAAGTAGAATCTGTTGTGCAAAATATGAATTCAGATTTCAATCCTCACTCATGTTTGATTTCTGCCTTCCTCATTCCTTGGCCATCACCAGGATGTTTTAATGCTTCCTGTCAAATGCCTCTCATGTCCTTTTCTCCCTTTCTTGTCAGTGGCATCCTCCTGGTCCAGTCCCTTCTCTCCATATGCCTAGATGACTGCTGTCGCCTCGGGTCACAGTATTCCTTGGCTCAAAGCCCCCAGTGGGTAAACCCTGAATCCTTACTCTAAACCCTTAACAAAACTGATGCTGGCTCCCTACCTCTGTGGCATCAGCCCTCCCACTCTTTCATTCTTTCTTTCCTTCATGCTGCTCCAACTATAACCTCATTATTAAGCGAATGGGTCAAAGAAGCTCCTGCTGCAGGGCCTTTGCACACTCTCTTCCCTCAGCCTGGAATGCTCTTTCCCCAGATATCCACAAGGTTGGCTCTTTTATTTCATTTACGTGTCTTCTCTCACATCACCTCATTAGAGAGAATATCCCTGACTCCCATGAACAAAACACCCCATTACCTTCCATCCTTTTATCCTGTTGTATTTTTCCTTTGGAACATTTAACATCAACTAAAATAGATTAAAAACTTGTTCATTGAGTGGGTTAATAAAAAGCATCTTAGCTGGCTTCTTAGTTCAACCTGCTAAGCTTTGCATTGTTTTCCTCTAAACACCAATATGATCATGTCAGAGGTTTCTAAAGGCTTACTGTTCTTTTTTTTGTTTTTTTCTTTTTGTCTTTTTTACTGACCCGTAACGGGATCGCAACCCTCGGTGTCGCGCCCATACCGGGGACCGGCAACAGGATCGCAACCCTTGGTGTTGCGTCCACACCGCGCTCAGCCAGTGAGCGGGAACGGGTCTCCACATGGGATCCGAACCCTCGGTGGGAGCACTGCCGCACTCCCAAGTGGCGCACTCTCCAGTGCGCCACTGGGCCGGCCCAAAGCTTACTGTTCTTAAGATGAAAAACATAATCTAACTTCACTTGCCAACTCTGATCACACCTTCTTGACCACTTAGATTGGTTTCCTTCATGTCCCAAAGTCCCACTGACTTGCGGAAGCTGCTCCTGTTTGCTGCCATCTCTCCGATGTTCTTCTTATAGCATTTATCATCTTATGCTATGTAAATTACACCATAGCCGACCTTCTCATATTGGTAATTCCCACATCTTTGATCCCTTTTATCTCAATTCTGCACCTCATGGAAACCATTTGAACTAGAAAGTTTAACAGGCTCTTTGGAGTTTCAGTGTCAGTGATACTCATTCCTAAGTTGATTTTTTTTTCCTCCTGTGGAGTTTTGAGTTTTTAGAGACTGTCACTGGTTCTTCCTTTAGCCACTTTTCTTTGGAGCAATCACAAATGCTTTTCTCTACAAAGAGATGAAAATATTCCATCTGCCTGACACCCTAAGTGCTAGTTGGAAGTGAGTTGAAATTGCTTTTCGGCGACAGAGCTGACAGCTGAGAGATCAGTTAATGTTTCGATTTTTGTTTTTAATCTCCTCACAGATAATGCTGTGTACCTGCTGGTGGTGAGCCATCCAGATTTCAAGTCCACAGTGGAGTTGTTTAAATTTCAAGAAGAGGAAAAATCACTTCTGCATCTGAAAACCATCAAACACAAACTTCTGCCTAAGTATTGAGAGATATATCATATTTCCATTTTCCTGTAACAGCAGTGATGGTTAATCCACTTTCAGTTTTTCCTTTTGGCCAGGGCGGGTATAGGTGTTCAACTCTCCTGTCTAATGATTACAAACTCCTCCAGATGTTCTTCTGCAGATTCTTCTGAGGACTCAGATGCCTCAGAGAAGGTCCATTCTCTTCCTCCCCCATTTTCAAAGCTGGTTGGAGGCTGGATCCTGGCCTCAGGATAACCATTCATGCTTTTACCAAGATAAACTCCAAAACCAGATTTAGTATTACAAACCCAAACAGGCTTCATAGACGATTTCCACATCTGGAGTTTATTTACTTATTTTTATTTATATTTTAAAAAACAGAATTTTAGATATTTCTGTGAATTAGAAACACATACTAAAAGAAGACCCTAAATCGAATGAATCTCTATTCCACCTTCCTCTGTGGCTTCTCCTGCTGTTTGGTTGCACACAATTTATGTAACAGCAGATCTGTGTAACACTCAGCACCATCCTAGGCTCTTGGCAATATAACATATGGAGGAAGAAAACACCCAAGGATCCCCAATCCTGGTCAACCCAACACAGAGTCAACTTCCTCGCTTGACCTATGAAGATTTGGTTTATGAGGCTAGTTATGGATTTAGAATAACCATCTGACACTATCTTCCAAAACAGTTTCCATCACCTCCTAATTGTGATGATTTTCTAGAATCCCAACCTCTTTTTGTATGATTTATGTACAGCATTCAACTCAATATTTTTAAATCTAGACTTGTACTCTTTGCAGGTGCCTAAGAGTGCTTGACACGTAGTATGCACCCTGTGTTACCAGTGCCCCTTCCTCTCCTATCTTACCCAGTGGTTTTGAAGATGAGGAAACTGAGATTGGAGAGAAATTGAGTTACTAGGTCAATCAACTAGTTAGGGACCACATAGGAACTATAGCCCAGGTGTTCTTCCACACTCCTGGGATGAATGCAAGTTTAGAAAACAGTTTTTGGTGGGAGAGTTTACTCAGACATTCATTCAACAAATACATTTTGCAGAGAGAATGAGGTCACTGAGTGCTTGGAGAATGTAAAGAATACCAAGATCTAAAGCAGGGAAAAGTACGTAGAATGGAGAATCTGGGTTAATGATAACAATATAATAATGGTAATAATAACAACTTAATGAACTTTAACTATAAGTAAGGTGTTACACTAACCAACTTAAATAGATTATTTAATTGACTTTTTACAAATGTCTTCTTAATTAGGTTTTACTGTTATACCCATTGCAGATTTAAAACAAATTTGAGGCCTAGAGAATTTGTTGTTGCCCCACATGATGCGATCGGTAAATGGTACAGCTGGGATTTTAATCCTGGTAGCTTGAGTCCGGTGCTAGTGCTCTGAACTACTACAAAATAGTGAAAACTTACTTTATTTGTTTCACCATTTAATTTTGGAAATCTTGGGTTTGTCCAGTTTCCCAGAGTTAGAGTATTTTTTTCTTGGCCAGTTGCAAAAATATTGGTCTTTGGCAGCACAGAACCAGACTGAAAATAACAATAATGCCACAATTAACTAGAATCCTGCTCTCTCAACCCAAGGTTTAGTCATGTGTATTTTCTTTTGTATTTGCTGGTTGTTTTATGACATTAATATTCCTATTACTAAATGTGTTATTATTTAAGCATGTTATTATTAATAATGTTACAACTGTTATTACTGGTCATTTACTATAAACCAGGCATGGTGCCAAGGCCTTTGCATTTATTATTTTATTTTATTCTTGCTCCATTCTTTCAAGGTATAGAGAGAAAACTGAGGTTCAGAGAAGTGGCTCAAAGTTTAGAGATGTGCTGTGGCCCCACGTTGTGATGGTAGCGAGCGACACCAGGATTCAGACTGAGTCCATCAGATTTCAAAGCTATTACTCTAAACCATTTCACTTTGCTCCTTTTAATGAAAAGCAGGCAAATGATAGTAAAGCATACTAATTTCAGAAATTTACTTTTCTAAAAAAGAGAGTAAAACCAGCTTGCAAATTTATATCTAGAGCCTGTACAGACTAATCCTAAATCCCCAGGCCTTTTTAAAAAATATAGTGATAGTGGCTACCATTGATTGAGGATTTATTGCATGTCAGTCTCCCTGCAAAGCACACAACAGGCATTGTCTCATTGTAATTCCCACTGCAACTTCACAAACTAAGACTCTGACACTTAGTTTTCTACTAATGAGCTATATGACTTTGGGAAAATCATTTAGCCTCTCTTTACAGATGAGAAAACTGAGGCTCTTCACGCTTGTCTAACTCGCCCAAGAGTCCAGAGCTGCGTCAGAGCTGATGCACTGGCCATTACGTTTCTCAATAGAGCAGAGACAATTTTCTCCTGGATCATGGCTCTGGGGAACTTCCGTCACCTCAAGCAGCAAAGAATGACTCACTTACTTGTTCACTATTGCACCTATTAAAGCAGAAAAATCGACTCATATCTCACATTCTCAGTAACAGAGAATCCTAATCAGAAAGAAAAAAAGCCATAGCATCTTATTTCTGAGCATTCTTGTTCATGGATGTTTTATTCAGTTTAGAATCACAAAACTTTAAGGCTGGAAGGTAGGCCAGTCTATCATCCTTCTTTTACAGGTAAGGAAACTGAGAACTGGACATGTAAAAGAATTGATTTGCCTTGGATCACACTGCTAATAGTAGCAGAGCTTTAACTAAAATGCAAGTCTCCGGACTGCCAGCTCAATGTTTTTTTAACCACCTTGTAATGACTTGTACCAATGGGAGTCAATTCTATGTGAGCACAAATAAATAATTTCTGGCCTATATAATGGCTACTGAATTTAGTGTGTCTACACACACACACACACACACACACACACACACACACACACACACACACACACACACCCCATAACACTGTTTTTAAAATACAGCTAATGGGATTTTTATTTTACAGTGCTATCGTCACCTCTTAGGATTTCTTACTGCAATTATTGTTTTTGAGGATTGTATAGGTAGAACTGATTTCATATTAATTCTGTGCAATAACAGCTAGTGTGAAGACTCCAATCCATATCCTGATTTCAGGAATAGACATTAATGCCTTCCAATTCATAATCCTGTAATGTACAGTACCTCCACCTGTATATATTATGTGTGTGTGTTTTAATTGCAGTTTGAATGATATTGTTGCTATTGGACCTGAACACTTTTATGCTACAAATGATCACTATTTTGTTGACCCCTACCTACGATTCTGGGAGACATATTTGGGTTTAGCATGGTCATATGTCGTTTACTACAGTCCAAATGAAGTTCGAGTGGTGGCAGAAGGATTTGATTTTGCTAATGGAATCAGCATGTCACCCGATGGCAAGTATGTGAACTCTTTAAAATGTAATGGACTTACTCAGATTCTCATTAGCTATCTTTAGGACATATTCCTTTTCTAAGCAATGTGATACATTTTAACATGTTATCCTAATAAGAAGAAAATAGGAAAAATGTAAAATGTCTTAATTTTTCAGGGGGTAAAATTTATCAAATCAGAACTTTCTGTTTTGTGAAGGTATACTTGTTTTATTTTCTTTTTGAAAAAAAGTATGTTTTAAGAAGACTGTGGTAAATGTTTATTATTACAAAATAGCTTTGTTTTGAAGGAAGACTTTTGAGTATATAATGAGATTAATATCATGAAAGTATATATATATATATATATATATA